TCCACAGCAGCAGATAATCAATATTTACATTTTTTTCCTGAGGCCTCCCAGCTTCTCAGGAGGAAAAATCCTAAGGAAAGGATTTTTCATAAAAGATGTCTGTGACAGGGATGTCCCAAGGCCATCCGGGCCCTTCCTGCAAGGCCTGCAGTGATGATGCTTTGGGAGGAGAGGAGCAGGGGCTGGCAGGGACTCACACTCTGCTGTCCCATCCTGGTGCAGTGCAGTGGCCCCAGGACACCCTGGACATGCCCCCAGTGGGGTGACCCCAGGACACCCAGACCTTCCCACAGCACGGTGTCCCCACAGCCCCGGGGCACGGCGGGTGCTCACCCCAGCTGTGCTGGAGAGCAAATAAAACATCCCTCAGCGTGCGTCCCACAGCCCCTGGAGACTTCTGCTCCCTCCCAGCCCAGGCTTTTCCCAGGCTCTGGATTTGCCCTTTTCCTGAGAGCAGCCAAGTCTTTCCCAGCCTCCACGTCTCGCTTCCTGCTATGGCTCCCTCCATGCTGCTCCTGGAGGCTCCTTCTGTGGCCAGAAAAGGCCCTGGAGTGCCGTGGGAGAGGAGCAGCTCTGCTCTACACCAAGTCACATCCCTCGAGCCATAGCTGGGGACAGATGCAGGGGAACGTGTTCTCTTCCCATTCAGCATAGGGGAACGTGTTCCCTTCCCATTCAATTATAGGGGAACGTGTTCTCTTCCCATTCAGCATAGGGGAACGTGTTCCCTTCCCATTCAATTATAGGGGAACGTGTTCCCTTCCCATTCAGCTACAGGGGAACATGTTCCCTTCCCATTCAGCTATAGGGGAACGTGTTCCCTTCCCATTCAGCTATAGGGGAACGTGTTCCCTTCCCATTCAATTAAAGGGGAACGTGTTCCCTTCCCATTCAGCTACAGGGCAACCAGTTCCCTTCCCATTCAGCTACAGGGGAACATGTTCCCTTCCCATTCAGCATAGGGGAACGTGTTCCCTTCCCATTCAATTAAAGGGGAACGTGTTCCCTTCCCATTCAGCTACAGGGGAACATGTTCCCTTCCCATTCAGCTATAGGGGAACGTGTTCCCTTCCCATTCAGCTGCAGGGGAACGTGTTCCCTTCCCATTCAGCTATAGGGGAACGTGTTCCCTTCCCATTCAGCTGCAGGGGAACGTGTTCCCTTCCCATTCAGCTAGAGGGGAACGTGTTCCCTTCCCATTCAGCTGTGGGGGAAAGTGTTCCCTTCCCATTGCTTTCCCATTCCCTTCCCATTCCCTTCCCATCAATCCCCAACGAGGGGATCAATGGATCTTCCTGCAGGTACAGCTCAGGCTTGATTCCCTTCCCCAGCACTCCAGGACCACTGTGGGTCCTTGTTTTTAGGCCACATGGATCTTCCCATGCCACAAAAAGCCCCTGGCTCTGCTGGCAGCAGCCTCTGCTTGCCTGGTGTTGCATCAGGATGATGCCCTGAGCTGCTGGCAGGGTTAGGAGCCATGCCAGGGTGGGCACAGGGTGCTGGGCACTGCAGTCCTGGTGCCTCCACACGAGGAAATGGCTGGGGGTGAGCGACAATGTCAGGATGCAGCTATTGAGTGCATTTCCTCCCTCCTGCAGTTCTCACACAGGGCTGCATTGTCTGCCATGCCCGTGCATGGAGGGACCCTAGTGGAGGGCTAAATATAACCCCAGGGAGGAAGGGAGCACCGTGGGGTTTGCTTTTCCTTCACTGTGCACCATTGGAAAGGGCAGGATTATTCCTGGTTTGGGGTTGCCCCAGTGGTGGGCACAGAGTGCTGGGGTCGGGGCTCTGTGCCTGGCCTGGGAGGATGCTCCTGACTGCTCCCACTCCCCCTGAGGACACACCTGGGCAGTGACAGGGCCCTCTGGGCAGGTGTGGCCATGCTGTGGCCCTGCCTGGCACCCTCCTGCCCAGCTCTCTGCCCTTCTTCCCCCTCAGCTGTGATTCTGCTCCCACCTCCACTCTTCCTGAGTGGGTCAGATTTAGACACTTGCTGTTTGCTGGATGCTGGGAAAGGTTAAAAATAAACTCCTTGGTGCTTGGCCAGCAACTCAGGCAGGACAGCCCTCTGTCCCAGGCATGGCAGAGCTGAGCAGGGTGCCTGGCATGGACTGGTCAGAAACCTCCCTGCGGAGGAGCCCCAGGGCTCCTGGGGACTGTGACTGCTGTTAGACCAACATCCCCAGCAGGAATTGGGGTTCTGGGGAGTGTGTGGTCCCTCCAGAACTGGCAGAGCTGCCTCAAAGTGTTTCCTAACTCTGGTGGTGCCCATGGGAGCCCCTCACTGTGCCAACATGGGGCTCAGCATCATCATCCAGGGCCGGGTGTTGGGGGAGCGAGTGCCGTTCCCACAAGGGACCGGAGCGAGCTGTTTACTCAGGAGGGAGTGTGGAGGTGTGAGAAATGCCTGTCTGGCCACTGTCTGTCCGCGGGCTGTGCCAGAGCGCTCAGCCTGGGCTCTTATCAGCTCCAAACTTTTATTTGCCTAAGGGCTGCCCGCCCACCCTTCTGCGAGGCTGCTGCCAACCCCAGCCCCGCCGCTGCCCCCTCCCCAGCCCGGCCCGCAGGTAAACCCCTGGCTGTTGTTGTTGGCAGCACGTCCCGGCGGCTGGGGGGTCACTGCAGCTGCCCCGAGGCACTTTGTCACAACACGGGAACAATGGTGGGACACGGAGCTGTGTTTGTGCAGCGCCTGGGCACTGCAAATGCAGGCAAGGGAAAGGGGGGGGTCTCGGCTGTCTTGTTTTTCACCTTGCAGGGTCGCTAGGAAAAGCGTGATGCTCCCTCTGTGCCAACAAAAATAGGAGTCCGGGAGAGGGGAGGTGACCTGGGGACGCTGTGGTGGGTAAACATGGCATGGCTGCTCTGTTCTCTTTCACTCCTTTCCTCCTGACCCAGCACAGCAGGCTGCTCCCCCCAGAGCTCTGCTGGTTCCTGGGGAGCACTGGCATGTGGCCCCCATTGTGCTGGGATGGCCTGGCAGGTCCCACATGGGCAACAGGGCAAGGTCCCTCCAGAGCCCCTCAGCCCACAGCAGGAGATGACTAGTGCAAAGTAATAAATACCCAAAAAACCCCCAAACTATCAGGTGCTGGGCTGATTCCTCCCTAAACCCCACGGGGCTCCAGGGCACATGGCCAGGCTGGACACGGCTCCACAAAGTCCCTGCAAACTGCAGGGCAGGGTCCTCCCACAGCCGATCTACCCCAGCCTCCTCCAGGAGGGCACAGGGAAGAGCTGGGAGCTGTTGATGTGCCCAGACCCCCACCCCAAGGGGTTTCACCCCGCTCATCCTCATCAGGGAGGAAACCAAACCAAGGGTGGGCTCGGCTCCCAGCCCAAGGGCAGCTCAGCTGGGTGCCTCCCTCCTCATTTCCTCCAGTGGCCGATGGCAGCGATACTGCCCCATATCACCCATATTTCATTTTCTCCAGGGTATTTTTAGCCTGTCCCACCCTCGCTAGAGAGGCCCTCGACAGAAAGCAGGCTCTGCTCTGGCCTGGCTTGGCTGGGGAAACTAAACAACAGCCCCAGCCACATTGTGTGCCTTTATCTGTGGCTCATTTCCACCTATTATGCAGCCAGGAGCAGCTCCATGGCCTCTGCTGGGTTTATCTGCAGTGGAGAGAGAGGGGCTGAGCTCTGCTTTGGGCCACCACGAGCCTGGGACGTGACAGTTCTGTCAAAACCCTGAGTTGAGGCTGGACTCAGGGGGACAGGAGGCCACAGCAGGGAGGGTTGTGCTTTCAGTGGGTGAGTGGCACCCACAGCACAGCTGGGTGTTCACTTTCCCCTTCACCCAGTGAAGGATGGCATTTCCCCCTCCCTCAGCCCCAAACCCTCACCTGCCCTCCCAGAGGCAGCTGGAGGCTGCAGGAAGCACAGTCACACCTCCTTCACCTTTTCTCATTCATCCAACTTTATTCAACAAGAATGCAACACAGAATCTGCCAGGGGAAGGGAAACAGTGCTGAGGGCAGTGCCCACACCCCACCCTCACACCTGCGTCACACAGGACCTGCAGCCCCTTGGTCACAGCAGGACAATCCCCTCTCACAGCATCAGTGGGCTGGGGAAGTCAGGGTGACAGCTCCTGTGACAAATTTGTCCTTCCAGTCCCCCCTCCCCAGCCCCTCAGCCCACAGCAGGAGATGACTAGTGCAAAGTAATAAAAACCCCAAAACCATCAGGTGCTGGGCTGATTCCCCCCTAAACCCCACAGGGCTCCAAGGCACATGGCCAGGCTGGACACGGCTCCCCAAAGTCCATGCAAACTGCACCTTTAAGGCAGAAACTCCGTGCTCAGCCCAGCAGGTTAAAAATAACTTAAAGGCACACATCCCATGGGAAAGAGCCCAGGGCTGCGAGGGGAGGAACTCACACTCCTGGGTCACCCACAGTGACCCAGGGATCTGCTGGTGACAACAGAGCTGGCTTAACCCCTCCGTGTCCCATGGGGAGGAGGCAGTTCTGCAGCAAATCCTGGGCAGGTGCCAGGGCCACTGGAATGGGATGGGGCTGGTGGCCAGGATCAGTCAGAGCAGCCCCAGCCCAGCTTTTCCTGGCAGTCCCAGCTCAGCCTGCTCCGTGTGGAGGCTGCAGAGGAGCAGCTTCCCACGGCTGCACTGCCGGCTCTGGGCTCTGGCTGAACCGCAGCTCCCAATGGCCAGCAGCCTCCAGCCATGCCTTGGGGACAGCCTGTTCCACGCCGTGGCTCCAGGGCTTTCTCCCTTTCCCACGGCAAGGCACACAGGACACGCTGTCCCGGGGAACTTCGTGCAGTTTCCTTCCTCGCAGGGTCTGTGGGGAAAACCGGCGAGAGCTCCACGGCCTGAGCATCCCATCCCAATCCCAGGGCGGGCAGGTCTCCGGAGCCTCCAGAGGGGAATGTGTACAGCACAGAAGCGGGCAGGAGGCAGCTGCCTGCCCACAGCCAGCACCCTTGCAGGCACAAGGGACCGAGGAATGTCCCCCTGCAGGCCGGGGCCAGCCCGGCACTACACGTATTGCTTTTTGGAGGCTGAGCTGCCGGGCCGGCTGCCCGGCTTCTCCTCCGGGGCGGAGGCTTCAGCAGCCCCGGGGGCGTAGGGGTCCGACAGGGGTCTGCTGCCGCCGCCCAGGGCCAGGTTCTCCTCGTTGCGGTAGTTGGCCCAGTTCTGCTCGCTGGAGAGCTTGTTGTAGGTCTGGTAGGAGGGTGCGTGGCTCTCAGCCATGGGCAGGAAGGGATAGTGCTTGGGAGAGTAGGGACTCGAGACCATGTCATCCACAAAGGTGTCCTGGCTCGGCACAGCTGGCCCTGACACCTTCTTGATGTTGCTAAGCAGGCTCTTGCAGCAGAGGTGGAAGAGCTCCAGGAGGTTCAGGATTAAGGAGATCAGGCCCATCACCAGCATGAAGATGATGAAGATGCTCTTCTCGGTGGGGCGGGAGATGAAGCAGTCCACCTGATGGGGGCAGGGGTCCCTCTTGCACACGTAGCGGGGCACCATGGAGAAGCCATACAGGTACCACTGGCCCACGAGGAAACCAGCCTCAAAGATGCTCTTGCAGATGACGCTGGTGATGTACGTCCACATCAGAGCCCCTCGGATCTTGAGCCGCCCGCTCTCTGTCATGTAGATCTTGGACATCTTCTTCTCCAGGGCTGCCAGGGCCTGCTCGATCTTGGGGTCCTTGCTGTGCACAGCCCGAAGCTCGCTCTCCTGCCTCTTCAGCTTCTCCTCCTTGCGGGAGAGGTAGACAACGTGGCCCAGGTAAATCAGGGTCGGGGTGCTGACGAAGAGGAACTGCAGCACCCAGTAGCGGATGTGGGAGATGGGGAAGGCTTTGTCATAGCAGACGTTGGTGCAGCCTGGCTGTTTGGTGTTACACACGAAATCCGACTGCTCGTCCCCCCACACGGACTCCCCGGCCAAGCCGAGGATGAGGATGCGGAAGATGAAGAGCACGGTGAGCCAGATCTTCCCGATCACTGTCGAATGCTCCTGGACTTGGTCCAGCAGTTTCTGCAGGAATTCCCAGTCACCCATCTTCTAGGAACCCTTTGCCTCTGCCAGCAGAGAGAAGACAGCAGCCACGTCAGTGCCCTGTTTCCATGGTGGGGAGCACAGATGTGACCACCCAAACCCTGCTTTTTCAGGATATGGCTGCTCTGCAGAGTGTCCCAGCAAACCCTCTGAGGAACATCCCACTTCTGAGGGAGGGAGGGTTCCAGGCAGCGTTTAGGAGTCCGAGAGGGCTCCTCCTACACAGTGCAGGAACAGACAGCTGGGATAGACAGGGATTCTCCCCTCCCAGCAGCACCCACAGCTCATGGCTCTCCTGGCCACTCTGGGGACAGCCCGCAGCCAGTGGGGCTTTGGGGCTGCCCAGGGAGCTCAGGGCACCTGGAGAGGAAGCACCGTGGGGGCTCACAAATTTGCTGCTGCCCTGGCTTTCCTATAAAGCAGAGAGCAGGATGGTCTAGAGGGGAAGCACAACCCCTTGGGGTACAGCTGCCACCCCATGCCTATTCAGGGCTCACCCCAAACTGAACAGGCAGCCCCCCCAGCAGCTCCCTTACTGCAGGGCGATGGACACCCAGCCCCAGTCCCCTCCCATGGCCAGGGGATCCCCAGCACCGCTCACCACCCTGCGGCCACTCCCAGCATTCTGGGGAGCCAAGCCCGCACCCCGCGGGCGCTCAGCCCGGCTGTGAGAGAGGGACAGAACGGCCGCAGCCCCGGCTCCTCATTAACCGCTGCTAATTAAGCTCAGAAGTGCCGGCTGTGCCGTTAAAGGAACCCCCGGCAGCGGTGGGGTGCCCTGTCCCCAGCACGGTGTCCCCGAGCGGTGCCGGTGTCCCGGCGGTGCCCGCACTCACCTCCGCCGCGCCGGGCACGTCCCGCGGGGCTCGGGCCGCGCTCAGTGTGCGGGGTCGGCCCGGGTGCCTCCGCTTATTCGGGGCCCGGGGAAGCCGGAGGAGGAGCGTGGGCAGGAAACCGGGGGCCGGGGCTTAGCACCGGGCCGGGCCGAGCTGCAGGTGTGCGGGGCCGCCCCTCCCGCGGCCCCCGGAGCAGGGGGCGGCCCCGGCGGGCGGGGCGGGGGCGGCCGGAGCCGTCGGGGCCGAAGCTGGGGGCGAACGGTGGAAGCTCGTGTGCTCCCGCTCTCTCATCTACAGCTGCGGGTCCGCCACCGGGCAAACCGCTGAGCCAGAGACCCCGGGATGCTCCGTCCGATCCCCGCCGGTGTCCCGGGCATGTTCCGTCCTTGCCCGCCCCGCCCGGACCGCGGCTGCGGCGCTCGTGGTTTGCCCCCGAGGCTCCGTGCGGCGCGGCGGGCGCTGGGTGGTGCTGGAGCCCCACCGGAGCCCGGCTGTGATCCCGCATCCCGCCGGTTCCTGGGATGAACTCCACCGGTGCCTGGCCCCTATCCCGTATCCCGCAGGCTCCCGGGCTGAACCCCACCGGAGCCCAGCCCCACCGGAGCCCCGCATCCCGCCGGTTCCCGGGATGAACCTCACTGTGCCTGGCCCCCATCCCACATCCTGCAGGCTCGCGGGCTGAGTCCCACCGGAGCCCAGTTGCGATCCCGCGTCCCGTCGGTTCCCGGGATAAACTGCACCGTGCCTGGCCCCCATCCCGTATCCCGAAAGGTCCCGGGCTGAGCCCCATCAGAGCCCAGCTGCGATTCCATCGGTTCCTGGGATGTACCCCACCGGTGCCTGGCCCCCATCTCACATCCCACCGGTTCCCGGGATGAACCCCACCGGTTCCTGGCCCCTATCCCGTATCCCGCAGGCTCCCGGGCTGAGCCCTATCAGAGCCCAGCTGCGATCCCGCGTCCCGTCGGTTCCCGGGATAAACTGCACCGTGCCTGGCCCCCATCCCGTATCCCGCAGGCTCCCGGGCTGAGCCCTATCAGAGCCCAGCTGCGATCCCTCGTCCCGTCGGTTCCTGGGATGAGCCCCACCGGAGGCCGGCCGGGAACTCCCTCGCAGGCTCCAGACGAAGTTTTGCTGTCGGGGGTCTCAGCACACCCCGGTGGGGCTGTGAAACGCGGGCGGGCTGAGCAGGGCTGGGAACAGCCGACCCTCCGCTAGTGCTGCTTAAGGAGAGATTAAATGGAAATAATTTCTATTTATTGTAATATTTATCAAGGTTTAGTAAATAATTGATGCTCATCCCTCCTTGATTTCCTTGGGGGCCAGCGTGAGGTTCTGCTGAATTAAAGTTTAACGACGCGTGACAAGCTGGGAGAGGCGGAACGGGCGGACGTGAGCTTGGCTGTGGGCTCGGCCAATGCCCAGCTCAGGCGGATGAGAAGGACCTGGCTGCAGGCTCCTGAGGAACCTCTGCACATCCATGTCTTCTGCCCTCACCAGTCCCCCAATTTCCAGTGTGCAGAGCAGATTTTGGTGTCTCCAAAAACGACATTTATTGGGCTTTTGGAGCTGTAGCTTGTGCTGGGTGTGATGTGCATCTGAGGTGAGGGGGACACAGAGGCACCAAGGGAAGCAGCAGAGCTTTTGGGCAAGACATGGCTTGGTGCTTGTGTGAGACAAGGGGGAGGAATAGCAAACTGGACAAACTGGGCCAGCAGAACAGTTGCCAACAGATTGGAGCCCTGGTCCTCTGTCATTACTTTGGGTGCATGAAGAGAGGTCTGGCCACGGAGCCCAGAATTCCTTTGGTTTCTTGGTACAAAAGAAAGCAGTGCATGAGTGAGGCACGGTGAGCTGGGAGGACTGGCACACACTGGGTGACACCAGCCCTGGCTGGGCACCAGCTGGGGGCACTCACACCCAGCCTAGAGCAGCAGAGCTGCAGGACCCAAGAGGAGCTCTGGACACAAGGATCTGTGTGCTGCTGTGATGTCCATGCTTGTGGCACTGCCACCTGCAGAGCTCCAGGGCTGCCCTTGCCTTACCTGTGTCTGCTCAGGCACCCGTGGGTCTCTCTCCAGGGACATTACTTTGTTGGGTTTAGTCAGTTTTCACACAGGTCGACTCTTGAGGGTTCAGGGATTTGCTAGGCTGGAAAAGCCAAGTTGAGGGGAATGTGAACCGGCTGGGGTAGATGTGAGGTCACAGCTCTTCTCCTCTGTGGGAAGAACAGACACACTCAGGCATGGCCAGCACCAACCTGCCAGCAAGCGTGTCCACACCACTGGGACAGCCAGGGATGTGCCCGTGGTCCCAAGCAGGAGAGTTCCCTTGGATGTGTCCCCCTCCCCTTACAGCCACTGCGGTCCTGGTTGAAGAGTCTGGTGGTCACCCGTGGTGCCAACCATCCCTGGCACATACCAGGACATTCTTCCCCCACCACCCTCCCCAGCACCCCTCAGAGAGCAGTCAGGGCTGCCACACACCTCGGCTGGGACTTGCTGTCCTTCTCCTCTGACTTGACGTGGCAGTGGCAGGTGGAGGCCTTGCTGTAGCTGACGGAGCGCTTGGATTTCCTCCACTTCCTTGTCCTCTGGACAACTCGCTTGAAGATGAGGTAGAAGATCTCACAGACGGTGAGGACGATGCAGATGGAGGAAGCTCCAACCATGAAATAGGTGAAGACCCTTTTCTCGGTTGGCCGAGCGATGTAGCAGTCCACGGTGTTGGGACACGGATCCACGTTGGTGCACTGGACCAGCCGTGGCAAATCGAAGCTGTCCCACATCTTGTGGAGGAGGTAGAGGAACAGGATCTCTATGACAAGCTTGAAGAAGAGGCTGAACAGGTAGGTCCACCACAGCCCGCCGTGCTTCTTGCCTGTATTGCTGTAGAGCTTGGGGCAATTCTCTCCGTTCTTCTCCCGGTTCTTCCTCTCACGGTCCTCCCGGTAGGCCACGTGCATGATGACCAGGAGGGAAGGACAAGTGACAAAGATGAGCTGCAGGGCCCAGAGGCGGATGTGGGAGATGGGGAAGAAGTGGTCATAGCACACGTTGGTGCAGCCCGGCTGCCGCGTGTTGCAGTCAAAGTCCTTCTGCTCGTCGCCCCAGACCTTCTCGGCCGCCACCACGTAGACCAGCACACGGAAGACAAAGACCATGGAGAGCCAGATGCGGCTGAAGGCTGTGGAGTACTTGTTGACCCCGCTGAGCAGCCCCTGCAGCGTTTTCCAATCCATGGCAGCTGAGGGAGACCAGGGTCACCCACCCTGGAGAGGCAGAAGGAGCAATGGAGACCCCACTGCACATCTCTAGCTGCACTAACTCTCACTTACATACAAGCTACATACAAGGCCAAAAGGGCCCAAACATTGTTGGCCCATTCGGGCTCCTACAACCTCTAGCAGATGGAGTAAAACTATTTATCAAAGAACCTATTTGACCACCAACATCCTCCCCAATCTTATTTATCGCAACCCCAGTACTAGCCTTACTTCTAGCAATCTCAATCTGAACCCCATTGCCCCTTCCATTCTCCTTAGCAGACCTTAACCTAGGCCTACTCTTCCTATTAGCCATGTCGAGCTTGGCAGTGTACTCCATCCTATGAATCCTCTCCCTCACCACATTACACTCATCTAGGATGGGGGCTCTTCACCCTTGCAGACAGTAAAGCCCATCTTCTCACTCCTGGTGATAATCTCTCTCTACACTTCCTCAATCCCTCTGCACTTCCTCTTGACAGAGCCTTTGCTGTCAGGGATGAGCCACCCGGCCAAGTCCCTGCCACCAGCTCCGTGCCTGATTGTGTGTGCTGGTGCAAACTGGCAGCACGATCTGCTGGAGCAGGCCAGGATCACCAGCCAAAGGGGAAATGGCTGCTCCTGTCCCAGCTGGTGTGCTGGGACATGCCAGGGATCTGTTTTCTGTCTCACAGGTGATACCTGAGGCAGCCAAAGGGGAAATGGCTGCTCCTGCAGAGCTGGGCTGCTGGGACATGCTAGGGATCTGTTTTCTGTCTCACAGGCAATACCTGAGGTGACAGTGGGACTGCAGAAAGTGAGAGTCCGTGTGTGTCGCAGTCCGTGTGTGTCACCACCATGTCACCCTGGCCAGGGCTCTGCTCCTGCAGAAATGCCGGAGGTGCCGACGGCCAAACCGGCTCAGCAGCTCAGCCTGGGGCAGCCCTGAGTGAGCAGGGAGACGTGCTAAGCCTGACCCGGAGCTTTACTGCACCTGGATTTACAAACCCAGGTGGTTTTTACAACCCTCTGGGCTGTGAAGGTGTCTGCCCTGGCAAAGAGATTCACAGAACACTTCTAAGGAATTGCTGCTGCCTCTTGCCCACCCAGTGCCTCCCAAGACGTACCTGGAGGAGGCTCAGGCTCCTTCCCCGCTCACCGGGGGCTGTGGGGTGGGGAGTGTCCAGCACGGGGCATAGCCAGGGCACGATGGCAGAGTGGTGATCAGGGTCCTCTCATCCACTGCACTGCGGCGTCCCAGGGCTGTGGGGTGGAACAGAACCTGGAGCACTGCCCGGAGCCCACGGAACACTGTGGGAGCCTGTGCTTGGCCAGGGCCACCCCGCAGCAAACCCCGAAGCTGTGGCTGTGCTCCCACACTTCTGGCCCAGGGGTGCACTGGGAAGGGTGGCTGGGCTGAGTGCCCCAGGCTGGGGTCCCTGGGGTCCCCATGTGCCAAGTGCCAGGGCTGTGCCTCTACCCATGCCCACACACCTTCACTCACCACCCTGTCTGGAACCAGATCTTCCTCCCTGGCAAACCCTTGGCCGGGAGTCAGGGTGGGGAGCAATCACTGCGTTCCCACCCAACCCTTGGATTTCAAACTGGGAGAGGGGAGCTGCTGTTTGCCCCCGAAAGCTGGTGCTGGTGGAACCTGGACACTCTGAATACTCCCAGTGCCAGCCTGCCAATTCATCCACAACCCCAACCCTGGTGCCAGCAAGACCAACCCAGTGCCCACCTGCCCATAACCCACCTGCCCGGCACTGTGTGCCCAGTTCAGCCCAGCACTGGCTCCACTCATGGACCCGCCGTGGGGCAGGAAGGGGCTGTGATCTCCGTGCCAAGCTCTGTGCCAATCCCCGTGGCAGTGGCCGTGGGCAGCACTCTGTGAGCCCCCACGGGCTGCCCAGTGCTGGATGGCAGCCAGGCAGAGCAGGGGCAGCTCTCAGGAGTGCTCAGCTGTGCCGGCAGTGCCCGTTTGCCTCCCGCAGAGCCCGGCACCTTTGCCAGCCCCCGGGATGCCAACCCACTGCGTCACAGTCCTGCCCCGTGTGGGCGCAGGGCGTTGGAGCCGGCAGCGCCCTGCTCCCACCTGGGCTGCACACTCAGCAGAAACACTTTTCTCCAGGGGTCTCTGCCCCTTTTGGGAGTGGGACAGAAGCGGCCATGAGGTGATCATTGCTGCTCCTTGGGGTGCCACGCTGTGCCATCCCCCTTCATCACCCCTGGCACGGCCTGTGGGGTCCTGATGTGGCACTGTGTGATGTTGGGATCCCCACTTCTGATCCCCCAGTCACAGCAGCCACCTGCACCCCGTTACACCTTAGCACAGCTCCCACCTGCCCCCTGTTACCCTGCAGGGCTGTCCCCCCTCCACCCTGGCAGCCCCGGAGTACCCAGTGCCCCAGCAGGTACCTGTCCAGGTGGCAGAGCCAGAGGAAGGTGTCCAGATGGGATCGGGAAGCTCCTTCTCAGCCTGAGCCCTCCTGCACACACAGGTTTGTCTGAGCAGGGGAGGGGAAGGGTGGTTGGTTTGGTTCCCAGTAACTGGGTGAGTCTGGCAAACAGCTCCGGAGAGGCTCCGGCTGCACATGCACACACACGCTCGGCTCCAACAACAAAAGGCAGGTCAGATCCCGCAGCGAGATCGGCACAGACGCATTCCTCCACAGGAAACTCCTTCCAGGTGATGTCCCATCCCTGCAAGGCTCTGCAGGCTGGCAGCAAGGCCGAGACCCCGCTCTGTGCCCCAGCTGTGCGCCCACCAGCAAGCAGGGCTGAGAGTCCCGGATTACGCAATTGCAACCCACTTTTGAAATGATTTTGCCTTAGTAATAGTTTTGCAACAGCTCATCGGTATCTCCAACCTACAGGAACTTGCAGGCACCGCCCTGGCGGGGCTGGTGTGGCCAGGTGGGACCTTTGCCATCGAGCAGGGTGGCACCAGGGTCCCCGTGCAGCCGGACCCTGCTCTGCTGCTGCCTCATGCTTGGGAAAAACGCCAATCACTTGTTTTTAAAATTTTTAAAAGTTTAATAGCAATAAAATGGTTAAAAAAAATGGTAACACAATTAGAGTAATAACAATTTGGACAAATTGAACTAGGACAATGTGAGACAATAAAAACAAAGAGTTATGGACGTCCGGGTACCTTTTTCTGGGCATCACGAGCCCGAAAAATTAACAAAGGATTAACCCTTAAAAGCAATAGCCTGTTGCATATTCATACACTTCATACATGATGCATAAATTCCATTCAAACACAGGATTCTGTCTGGTCATCGTCAACTTCTTCCTCCGAATCCTAACAACACCTTCGAGGCGGGAAGAAGTTCGTTTCTTCTGATGAGAAGGCAATAAATTCTTTTTCTCTGAAAGATTCAGGTGTCCTGTGGCTGCTATCTCGCTGCGAGTCCTTTCTTTTAAACAAAGCATCTTACATAGCATCGTTTCTATTTTAACAATTTTTATAACCTAAAACTATATTTAACACACTACTTAAGAGGATTAATCCAGCGTTACTTTCTGACACAACACATTTAATATTCATTTGAATGTTTGCAAAAAGCCAATCATAAAATACATGCATTTTTCACATGCTGCACCCCCATGGGACCCGCAGGCTGTCGCTAAGGGGGTTTGTCCCTCTGTCCCTCTCTTGGGGGCTTCCAGGAGGCTGAGCCAGCCCCATCCCACCGGATATCCCATGGATAGATGCCTGTGCGGAGGTAGCCGGGCAGGAATGCTCTTCCCTTCCCTCACCTGGTTTCTAGAGTGCCCCGAGGCTTCCCTGGAATCCTGCGGCACACCCTGGGGCCGATCAGCCGCGCTGGAGCCGCCTCGGCACCCGGCCAGGGCCACCCCTCCCGTGGGGACACGGCTGAGGAGCCCCGGGGTGCTTTGGTGCCTGCAGGGATTCGCTCCCTGCTCTCCTGGCGGACAAGGAGCCCCTTGCCCCGAGGCTTTTTGTCTCCAGGAGGGCAAATAAAGCCAGTGAGGGTTTGTCAGACTGGGGACAATGGAATGAGAGCCTAAAGTAATCCAGGTGGCAGCCTGGGGGTGCAGGATGGGGTGAGCCTGGAGGAGGGGACAGCCATGGGCACCCCAGTCCCAGATGAGAGCCAAGCAGGGGCTCTGGAATCTTCCTTGATCCCGGAGCTGCCCGGATCAGGAATTTCCTCCCTGCCTGCGGGGATTTGCTCCCTGCTCTCCTGGCAGAACAGGAGCCTCTTGCCCCGAGGCTTTTTGTCTCCAGGAGGGCAAATAAAGCCAGTGAGGGTTTGTCAGGCTGGGACAATGGAATGGGAGCTTAGGAGACCCAAAGCAAACCCAGGTGGCAGCCTGGGGGTGCAGGATGGAGTTAGCCTGGAGGAGTGGACAGCAATGGGCCCTCTAATCTCAAATGAGAGCCAAGCAGGGGCTCTGGAACCTTCCTTGACCCCGGAGCTGCCCGGATCAGGAATTTGAGCTATGTTATGCAGAGAGCTGGTGTGGCAGGAGCTCAGCAGGAATCTGGGGGCTGTGAGGTGGAAAACCCTGGAGAGAGGGAAGGTGCCAGAAGCACTGGAAGCTCTGAATCCTTGCAGAGGCAGCTGCTCCCTGCCCCACAGCCAAACCCTGTAAGGGCCAGGTGAAGAGAGGGGTCGGATCCCCCTGAGCAGCCTCTTGCCTGCAATTTTGAGATTTCTTGTGGTCACGGTGAGAGAGTTCAGGTGCATTTGGCATGGGCAGAAAATCTCCCTCAGGCAGTTGGGTGGGGAGCTGAAACAGCTCCATGCTTTGCAGTGCTTGAAATGCTGAGCTGGGTGTTTGGGTGAATCCATAAATCCGTCAAGGGGCACATCCCTGCGCCCCCGCTGCCAGTGTGGGCACAGGGACAAGGTGACAGCGTGGTTCTGCACATCTCAGCACTTGGGAGCTTAAGGGCTATGCCCAGGACCTGTCACCCTGGTGCCACCCTGCTCCAACACAGCTGAGAGGCCTCAGGGCCACATGTAAACACTGCGATTTAGGTAGGCCCAACCTTGACTCCTCCATAAAGGAAAAACCCAAACTGTGGAGCTGGTGGATGCCAAACCAGCAGGAAAAGCTCAAACATAAAACCATTTTTAGAAGGGTCTTTAATGGAGCATGGCAGGATTGTGCCCAGGACGTGTCACCCTGGTGTCATCCTGCTCCAACACAGCTGGGTGACAGCTGAGAGGCCTCAGGGCTAGATTTGAACACTGGAACATGCAGGGATTTAGGAAGGCCCAACCTTGACTCCTCCATGAAGAAAAAACCCAAACAGTGGAGCTGGATGCCAAACCAGCAGGAAAAGTTCAAATATAAAATCCTTTTAAGAAAAGTCTTTAAATGGAGCATGGCAGGATTGTGCCCAGGACGTGTCACCCTGGTGCCACCCTGCTCTGATACAGCTGGGGGACAGCTGAGAGGCCTCAGGGCCACATGTGAACACACAGGGATTTAGGGAGGCCCAACCTTGACTCCTCCATAAAGGAAAAACCCAAACTGTGGAGCTGGTGGATGCCAAACCAGCAGGAAAAGCTCAAACATAAAACCCTTTTTAGAAGGGTCTTTAATGGAGCATGGCAGGATTGTGCCCAGGACGTGTCACCCTGGTGCCATCAGGGATTTAGGGAGGCCTTGACTCCTCCATAAAGGAAAAACCCAAACTGTGGAGCTGGTGGATGCCAAACCAACAGGAAAAGCTCAAAAATGAAACCCTTTTTAGAAGGGTCTTAAATGGAGCATGGTAGGATTTTCTGCCTGCCAACAGCTGTCCCCCTCCAGGGCCACATCCCCAGGGATGAGACTTCCCTGCAAGAACAGGGGCAGAGGAGTCATGGGGGCCTGGGAGCTGGCAGCCAGGGCTGCACATAAATCAGAGAGATTCTCCTCAATTCCCAGCAAACAGGCAGGTTTTGGCCAGGGCAGAAAGAAGCCCAAGCTGGGGAGGTCAATTTACCCTGACCTGTGCGCTCAGTCCGCTCCACATCCCTGCCTGGGCTGCAGTTAGTGGTGAGTTTCTTTAAAATTCCCCCATCCCAAGATTTAAGAGGTCTTCTGGGATCTCACAAGCAAATACAGGGAATTTCCTGTGTGAGGACGCGAAATCTGGGAAACATTCAGCTTTTATTGCGACACACCCCCTGGTTTGCTGACTCTGGTCCTGCCTCTGCATTCCAGGAGATATCCCAGCACCCAGACCCCCATTTTTGGCACCAATATCAAAAGAAGCAGCTGAATGCTCTCGTTTTTCTGGCTGACTGCTGCTTATCCCAAGCCTGGATGGTGCAAGACACTCAGAGCTCTGCAATGTTTGCTCTGAGTATGACAAAACAGCACAACAACATCCACAACTGGATCTTCAGGTGTCTCTCAATGGGCAGCAGCTCCAGCTGTGCTTTGGTGTGCAGAGGTGGCACAGGGAGGTTTTTCTGGGGCTTATTTCTGTCCCCATTAGTGCCTGCAGAGGGGAACACCTCGGGGTTTCACTCTCCAGCCTGGAGCAGGAGTGGCCAACCTTGCTGGAAAACAAACAGCCCAGCCCATGCTCTTTAATTCGGTGCAATGGCTCGCACACAAAGAACAACTTGTGTCCTCTGACGTTGTGCACTTCATAAAGAAAACTTTCAGGTGGATAATCCAGCAGCAGGAGTGGATGGAAGCAAGGCAGTGCCAGCACAACTTCCCCTGAGAAGTGGAAAAAATTCTTTATTTCATCATCTGTGTTGATGTATTTGATTTGTACATCTGATAATACAGATGGATTTCATCATCTGTGTCTCTGACCCCAAAGGTCCCCAAAATCAAGGAGCTGCTCTGGGCTCAAAGGGCTCAGTGCCTGTGGCCAGGATCCCCCCAGGGCTTCTCCACCATCCTCACCCTCACTAGTGGCTGGTTCAGTCCCAGCAGTGCTGCAGCCCCACCTGCTCTTGGCTTCCCTTCAGCCCTGCCTGTCCCCGGCAGCCCCATCCAGCTGTGGGAAAGAGCTCAGTTTTGCCCATGGAAGGTCTCAGCTGGATCACTGCAATGATCTGTCACTGAGAATGGCCTCAGTCACATAAAGGACACAGCGATGGTGTCCCCTCGCCCCCTGTGCCACTTCCTTTGGGACAGAGACAGAGAGCGCTGGCACTGTCACTGCTCGTGGAAAAAATAATTATCACACCCTTTGAGCAGAGCAAAACCAGTAACAGATCGAGCTGCATGTTCAGTGTTAATGTTACTTGTGAGTGCATTTGCCATGAAATTATTGTTAATTATTCATGCCAGCTAATGCTCGGCTGCTCCGATGGCCTCGGAAGTGGCAGCACCGCCCATGTCACGGCCGAACGCGATGGATTACAACAACAAACGAGATCAGATTCTGCCATTTAATGTCATTGTTTAATCAATGCTTGGGGTGTTTTCCTCTCCTGTGTTTGGCTGTTTTGCTCAGGTGTTTTGCCCTGGCCAGGCAGGATGATCCAGCAGCCCACAGATCCATCCTGCCTGGCTGGATCCTCACGCCTGAGGTGGCTGCAGCACCTGGGACCTGCTCTTGTCCCCACTCAACTAATGAGTGTTATTAATGACAATTGCATCAGTCTGAGGTGGCCCTGACGCCCACTGAGTGGCTGACAGGGTGAGAGATAGGGAGAGGGGTTTCCTGAGGTATCAGGATGTCTGTCCTGGCTGGTACAGGCTCAGAGTGTGGGCACCACTCTCAGTTCACAGCTGCCATGGACCCGCTGCTCCTGTCACTGCCTGGGACAGAATGTGTTCTACAGCTCCTGCTTTACCCCAAATTCAGCAGGATGATGTAAAATGCCTTTCCCAGGACAGGAGAGGCAGAGACCCCTCAGGCACAGCCCAACTCCAGGGTGCTGCCACCCTCAGCGCTCCTACCCTGGAGCACAGAGGAGGAAGAGCAGCCAGGAAGTTGCAGGCCAGGCGAGCAGCTCCTGCGTTCTCCTGGGCAGCTCTAGGAACCAGCCTCATCCTTGGGCAGCGTGCTGGGACAGGAGGCTGTGAGCGGGGTGGTGGCCGTGGGGGGTTTGTAGTCAGCCCCATGGAACACCTGCCCGCCCGTGCCCACGGGGTTGGCACAGGACATGGGGTAGTCGTGGCTGTTCCTCCTGCTGTCCCCTCCTTTGACCTCCAGGCACTCGTGGCACCGCTTCCCGATCAGGTAGGTGGCCTCGATGAGGTTCAGCACCACGCAGACGCAGGTGGTGACCACCATGAAGAGGGTGAAGATGTTCTTCTCGGTGGGCCGGGAGATGAAGCAGTCCACAGTGTTGGGGCAGGGCTGCAGCTCGCACTTCACCAGCCGGGGCAGGGTGTAGTTCCTGTAGAGGCGGAAGAAGACGTACAGGAAAACCAGATCCACGCAGGCCTTGAAGACGAGGCTGAGCAGATACGTCCACCAGAGCCCGCCCCGCTTCTTGCCGGGGTTGGGGTAGATGCGGCGGTAATTGTCCCCTTGGATCTCACGGAGCCTCTCCTCCTTGGCCTTCCTGTAGGCCACGTGCATGAGCACCAGGAGGGACGGGCAGGTCACCAGGATGAGCTGCAGGGCCCAGAGGCGGATGTGGGAGACGGGGAAGAAGTGGTCAAAGCAGACGTTGGTGCAGCCCGGCTGCTTGGTGTTGCACTCGAAGTCCTTTTGGTCATCGCTCCAGACCTTCTCGGCTGCCACCAGGTAAACCAGCAGGCGGAAGATGAAGACCAGGGAGAGCCAGATGCGGCCGAAGGCTGTGGAGTAGACATTGACATCACGGAGCAGGTCCTCAAGCCAACCCCAGTTCATGGCTCCTCGATACTTTTTGCCAGCCTGGGAAGAGAGGAAACACCGTGACACTGAAGTGTGGATGCCATGGGACAGAGAGACAGAAACAGTCAGAGAGAAACAACAACAACTTCTCACAGCAGCTTGTGAGAAGTTTTAAGGAGCTGGAAAGATGTGGTGACTTGTTAACTATAAACCATTTGCAAGTAGTGTTTTTCTACTTTATTTTTCTGTTCCTCTCAAAGACAGTGCGTAAAAAAAGATGTTTCTGTTAGTTAGCCAATAGAAAATCTATCATACCACTCTTTTGAATAAAGCCTTCTTTGCCTATTCTACAATCCTGCCTGTCACCTCGGCACAAGAGTGACACTAAAGCAGCAGCAAAAGGAGCTCCTGTGTGCCTCAAAGCACTGAGCGCTGCTCCTGGAGCCACCTCTGACCTGTGCTGGAACAAAGGGACACCACAGACAGCACAGACCTGCTCCGGGTGACACGTCTCCTCCAAGCACCGTCCCCACTGTCACCACTCGAGGTTTCTGCCACAGCCACAGCATCCTCCAGCCACCTCCGGTGCTCGGCCCCCATCCCGCCGCAGCTCCCGCCTCGTTGCCCAGGTATTTGTTATTAATTTCCCCTACGTTTCCAAGCCTGGCCCAGGCAGACAACAAATAGGAGCAGCCGGGGCGTGACTCACCGCGCTGCGCTGTCCTCTCCCACCGCTGGAATCCGCCCGGTGCCACCGCTCCGTGTGCCCACGCCGTGCCCAGGGGGCACCGGGGAGCCCCCGGCAGGGCAGAGGCAGCGGCTGGGCTGGGCTGGGGTGGCTGCACAGCCCCTGCAATGCCGAGGGGCTGAGCATTCAAAAAAACCCGATTTTCACCAGCCACAGATACCTGCGTGGCCGATTTGAGCCCGGCTTGCATCGTGCCGGATAAACGCGCCCTGCAAAGACTCCCAGGGCTGCGTTTGGCGCTGGATCTCCTTAAATATTTTCCCTACCAGTGGAATAACAAAATTCCCCCTCGCCGAGGGGTGAACACATCCCCTTCCAATGCACCCTCCTGCAGGACTGGAGTGGCCACGGAACTGCCGGTTCTCGTCCCTCCCTGGAGGAACGCGCACACCCCAAATTCCTCCTTCCCTCTGCCCCGGTGCCAGGCTGGGCACAGGCACCTCCCCAGCGCCCTCCTCACCTTCTCGGGGCCGGGGGTCGCGGCAGAGGGGGTCCCCACGCCGCTCACCTGCGGGTGTCTCTCGGCAGCGCTGCTGCAGGTCGGCGCCTGCCCAGGGCAGGAGAGCATCACCCGGCACCGGAGACAGCCCATGAGTCACCCCCGCGCTCCTGGGAGCGAGGAGGAGATTCCCGGGGGAAGGGACGAGGCTCCAGGAGGATCCCCACGTGTCCCGTGGAAGATTTGGAAGAATTCCAGCCAGATTTCCCCAGGCGAAGGGCGGCCCCGCAGCGCTGCCGTGCCGGGAAGGGGTGGGAGCTCAGGGCTGGCTGTGCTCAGCTTTCTGCAGGGGTGTTCAGGGTCCCTCCATGCCTTCCCTGCACCCATCTTCCTTCGCTCTAAAGTGGCTGAAGCCCTGGGAGTGCCCCCCTTCTCACCACCCTTTATAATCCTTTTTTTATTGAAACTTTGCACCATGGCAATAATTTAGCATTTACCCCTTGCCACCCTCTATTTAGTGGGTGGCAGTTGATAATTTTACTGGCAATTAATTAAGCACTACCTGGGGTCCCTCCATGCCTTCCCTGCACCCATCTCCCCTCGCTCAAAAGTGTCCCAAGCCCTGGGAGCGCCCCCCTTTCAGCTGAACACCACCCTTTATAATCCTCTTTTATTGAAATTTTGCACCATGTCAATAATTTAGCATTTATCCCTTGCCACCCTCTATTAAATGGCTGGCAATTGATAATTTCACTGGCAATTAATTAAGCACTACCTGGGGTCCCTCCATGCTTTCCCTGCACCCATTTCCCCTTGCTCCGAAGTGGCCAAAGCCCTGGGAGTGCCCCCCTTCTCACCACCCTTTATAATCCTTTTTTTATTGAAACTTTGCACCATGGCAATAATTTAGCATTTACCCCTTGCCACCCTCTATTTAGTGGGTGGCAGTTGATAATTTCACTGGCAATTAATTAACTGCTTACCTGTGCACCCCTCACCTGCAAGCTGGCACACGTCTCTTCCCCATCACCCCTCCTTGATACCAGAATCTGAACCCCCAGCTCAGAGAACCCCTCTTGGGGGTCTGACCCCCATCTCACAGCTTTGGGGTGCAGGGATGGGGGTCAGAGGGGAGGGGAGTCCAAGGAGGTGTGGGGTGCAGGAATTCAGGTAGAGCTGGAGTCATTTGAGGAGCAAACACACATTTCATTTGCAATTCTGCTGGGGTTTGAAAAAAAAATGTAGAGAAACAAATCTAAACAGCTGTAAAGTAAATTACCAGTGTTTGCGGATGGCTCCAGGGAAGAGTTCTGCAGTTTGAAGTCAAACAAGCCCATTTTTATTTTTTTTTTTGTTTTTAACGTGCCTGTGTAGTGGCTGTGCTGGGAAAGGGAGGTCCCAGGGGCTGTGTGCCCCATGGGCAGGCAGGGAGGACCCAGAGCAGCACCCACCCACCAGCACACAGTGGTGGGTTAGGGGGATGTTCTGCCTCAGATACCCCTAATTTTGTGGGTGTCAGAAGTGGCTCTTTGTGCTTTTTTGGGTTAAAATCCCCTCTTTTGGGGACAGCCAGGTGTGATGGGCGGTTTCTGCTTTGGGTAGAGCCCCTCCATCCCTCCACAGGTGAGTCCCCAGCTCAGGGGACACAAAGGTGTATTAAATGGCAGCACTTTATCTTCCAGGAACAAGCCCCATTAGTACGTTTTCACTACAACATGAAATATTAATAACACTTTGCATTTATATAGCGTCATTCATCCCGCAGTCACCAGCCAAGCCGCTGACATGAATCAAGCACTGCAGCCAGCTCTGGAGGAGACAGGTAAAGGGGATTAGACCCCTTTTCCTGCTGCACACACCGAGGCACAGGGTTTTCTGCAGGTCACCGGTGCCACTGAGGATGTTTTGGAGATAAAAACCCGACCGCACTGCTCCGACCTGGCCTTCCTCCTCCTCCAGCTGCTGCAACTGGAAATTGCTGTTCCTCATGCTGTGCTGACAGTGCAGGGAGGGGAGTTAGGAAACCTGTCAGCCCACGGAGAGGCAGGCCCTGACACAACCCCAGGGCTCCGGCAGCATGAAAGAGCAAGCAGGGAACCAGTGGGGAAAGAAAGGGCTCTTTTCATCTTATTAAAAAGCCTTGTATTTAAAGCCTCCTCCAGCTCCGTAGCGCGGGGTGATTGCGAAGGCTTTTACACACCAGCTGAGCAGGACTGGCTCCTGCTGCAGGAGATGCTGCATGCAGATGCTGGTTAGCAGGGCGGAATCCCGCGATTGATGATGGATAAGGACAGATAAACAAGTCCTGGGCAAAGTTCCTGAGCGGTGCTGAGCGGCAGGGAAGGGGTGTGGGCACAGCCCACTGCCCCCAGCACCATTGTTATTCCGTGAAGAAGGCACCTTGTTTGCAGATAATTAAAAACCCCCAACCAGATTAGTGAAAATTAAACACCCAGAGCAGGCTGGATGTTGGCTCAGCCATGGGGGAGTCTGTGAGCATCCCTGGCTGCTGCTTCCAACCCTGCCTCAGCCCCTTGGCTCCCCAGCTGCATTCCCCATCCCACGGGATTGTTTGGAAGTTCTTCCATGGAAAATCTGTGTTCAAGGAGTGTCTGGATGGGAGCAGGCAAACCCTCCCTGGCCGTGGCCATCTGACACGGCCAGCACCCATTAATCTTACATTTCTATGTGAGGCTGCAGGGAGTAACCTCATTTCTAGGGAGACCTTAATTAATCACCGACTCAAACTGCCTCCATGAGGTGGTTTGCAGCCGAGGAGATGAATTGGCATGGTCAGCAGTGGCTGAGGATGAGGATGGGGTTAGCAGGGACCTAAATCATGGCAGGTGATGGTGGTGAGCAGAGCAGGGGACACGCGAGCAGGGGACAGGGCACATCTGTCCTGTGAAACTTCCTCTGCATGGCAGGCTGATGAATGGGAGATGCTGCTGAGGCTCTTTGCCCCTAAAAAGGCAGAAATGAGAATGTTCTCAGCCTGTGCAGCCCCTGTGAGGATGGCAAGGGAAAAATGTGGAGGACAAATTCCTGAGCAGGAGGGGACAATCACACAGCCCCAAACCCCAGATAGGGAGGGGTTGGGGGCTTGATGCCCTCATGAAGGAGCAGAGAGTCACGGACAGACCCATCACTGCCTGTTTTGTGTTGTTTTGACAAATAATCACCGTGCAAAGGACATCGCCGCCCTTGCCACTGACCTTGGCAGCCTCCAAATGGGCGGCTCGCGGGTCAAAGTCTTTATATCCCATCACCATTCTCCTGAGTCACGCCTGTCTCCTGGCAAAGTGACATCCTTTTCAGATGGCAGCTAAACGGGAAAGAGGTCGCGCTCCCAATACGGCGACAATAGGACATGACAGCACTTTTCTGAGTGATTAAGCCTCAGGTGATGGCGGGGCTACAAGACAAGTGGCTGAAGGCTGAGAGACTTTAATCACCTCGGACACGGCGCTGCATCCTCGCACTCCATCCTGCCAGGGTGGGTTTTCAGTGCGAAACGGGAGGGATAATAAAAATAATCCAGCCCAGCCTGCGCACCCACCCGTTAGTTATCCGTGCTGCTGTTAATAACCAGCCCGGGCAGCCTGTTGGCCCTCAAAGATCCTCCTGCAATAAATCAGCGCTGATGCCTTAAAATAACTGTCTGGGACTGCGGGAGCTGACACTAGATGGCATTGGGAGAACGCTCAGCCGCCTTCCCCGGAACAGTCTGGCAAAACAGAGCAGAAAACTCAGGATGACGGAGCAGAAAATGTCTCAGCTGGGGAGAGGCCACCAGCTCACCTCCATCCTCACATGCACCAGTTCAACGCCATCCTCACAGTCCTCACT